TTACACATAACTTACAAAAGTAACAAGTTTTCATATCCAGGAACAACTTGGAATACGTCAAAAAAAAAAAAAAAGCAAAATACTAACATAATGAACAAAAATAAATAAAATATTTATATTCCGTTATTAACATACATTCTGCAATAGCACAAAACAAAATTAAAATTCTAAGATAAATACACATTTATTCAAAATTGACTAATAAATACTTAATTGCATTATTAGTCAATATATTATTTTTAAACTTTAATATAAACTCATAAATATTTCTGACCCGAATATCATCGAAAATCTTGATTACTACAAATAAGTTACATATAGCTCATGTCTTTGTAATGGAATACTATCTCTCCTGTGCATTATGACCTACTACACTGACGCGACACATTCTTTTTAAAGTGATACACGTATAACGCATCTGTGCAGTATGAAAAATTGGAATTATATTGGAAATATGATACATAACTCATGCATAACATAATTCTGTACGATACAACACACTACTCTGACGTGGCACACTCAAGTGAGTATGAAATGAAACATCGTTTCTCAGCGTGTGAACCAAGGAAGGCGTAATTCATATAAACGTGTGAATATGTTTAAACCAGTTTGAACCAAGGAAGACGTAATTCATATAAACGTGTGAATATGTTTAAACCAGTTTGAACCAAGGAAGACGTAATTCATATAAACGTGTGGATATGTTTAAACCAGTTTGATAGAAAATTATATTTGCCGAAAAGTTTACAATACAGATGTTAACGTCGTTTTTAAGTTCAACTTCTGCTAAAAATATACAATTTTTATGTAGTTTTCTTTGTTAATTTAATAAATGTTTCAAACTAATGTTTTAAACTAAGGCTAGTAACTTTGTATTCTAAAAAGTGTCTGTTACAATAAAATTCCACTCAAATATTGAAAGACATTTTTCTCAAATGAAACTTGAAAACAAACTTTTTTGTTTACTACTGTTTACGCCATTTAGCTCAACCAGAGCAGTTTACTGTTGCTGACGTTCACAGAAAACCCAGTCATTCACCAGTACAGTTAACTGCTGCTGCAGTTCATAGAAAACCTAACTGTTCACCAGTACAGTTAACTGATGCTGTTGTTCACACAAAGCCTAACTATTCACCAGTACAGTTAACTGATGCTGTTGTTCACACAAAGCCTAACTATTTACCAGTACAGTTAACTGATGCTGTTGTTCACACAAAGCCTGACTATTCACCAGTACAGTTAACTGATGTTGTTGTCCACATAAAACCTAACTATTCACCAGTACAGTTAACTGATGCTGTTGTTCACACAAAACCTAACTATTCACCGGTACAGTTAACTGATGCTGTTGTTCACACAAAACCTAACTATTCACCAGTACAGTTAACTGATGCTGTTGTTCACACAAAGCCTGACTATTCACCAGTACAGTTAACTGATGCTGTTGTTCACACAAAGCCTAACTATTCACCAGTACAGTTAACTGATGCTGTTGTTCACATAAAACCTAACTATTCACCAGTACAGTTAACTGATGCTGTTGTTCACACAAAGCCTAACTATTCACCAGTACAGTTAACTGATGCTGTTGTTCACACAAAGCCTAACTATTCACCAGTACAGTTAACTGCTATTGCTCTTCACAAACCTAACTATTCACCATCATAGTTTCTTACTAGAGCTAAATTTTACCTTTACCTTGACTGTTCCATATCTTTAAAAGATTATTAGATGTTAAAGCAAAGTGTTATAAGTAAGCCTAGAAACAATCAGTAAAATGGACGTCCTTCTTATCAGCGTGTTCGATTTTTTGTCCTATTTCTTGTCTAGAAATCTCGGGTGTACGATATACGTTGTCCTTTCCCAACGTCTTCTTATTTACTTTGGTTAATTAATACAAAATCAAACTCGAAGGACAAAGTAGAAAATTATTGCATCAATATTTTAAATAGAAATTACACCTTTTACACCGTTTTTGGCCTTTCAAATGATAGAGTAATTTTACCCTGAGAGGATCTTAAATACGAACGAAAAAGGCACATATCAAAATTATCTAAATGTATATTACTTTACACATCAAGGAGTTTAATTATTTTACCGTTTGGTTTTCAGGAAACTAGAAATTGTTTAAAGTTGATACATATTTTTGAGCCTGATCATGTTTTTTATTATTATACCTATAGAGGAATGTAAGTCTGTGGTGCGCACACTGTGAGGCGCGCAAATGTGACTGTAGGAACATACCAATTATATATGAAAGTACAAATTAAAAACAAAGGAGTTTGAAGAACTGCCGTACAAATATTACTAATGTTAATAACATAGTAACAAAAATTAACATGGAAAAGAAACATGTACAGTATAAATACATATAGGTTATACCGGGTGCGGGAAGGGCGGAGCAAAACGCATAACAGTTTGCGCACTCCTGATATAAAGAACAAAAGACTAAAATACTGAATTTTTTAAACATCTCACACGTATAACCTGCTGTCAAACTATATCAACTTAAGTGATATAGTAAAGACTGAGCTGTTGAACTGTTTAATTTATTATAATATAATGTTACCATTAAAAATGCCATCGGCTCATGAAATAAAAAAAAACTCATTAACGTTTTGCTGCTGTCACAAGTATTGAACCTTTTTAACTCATTATATCATGTATAGTGGCTACTAAGTTTCAGAGTCTAACTTTTAAAAGTCGATTTTTTAAGTCAATTTGTGCGAACACAAACATTACACTTTAAAACTTTTGTTTTACAGGCTTTTATTTTAACGACGATGAAGTGAATATAAAGGTGTTGTTTCCTTAACTTCGCCCAAAGCTACTCGAGGGCAATCTTCTCACCTGCAATGACTGGCAGAGGTTATCCAACAGTGCCACTTTCATTTCTTTTGATCTGGTTGTCAGAGGTCTTGGTCAGAGCTGAGACTGTTGTATAGTACTTTAGATGACAACAGTCCGGGAGTTCTGTAGAGACTTTTCTACACGGTCTCAGACTTGCCAGGCACCAATCCACATTAGGAATCCTCAGTCATCCTTGCTTCTCTTGTTCTGAGATTGATGCTCAGGGATTAGCCTCACGTTACAATGCACCCCGCGATTGAAAAAGCAAGCATGTTCGGTTACAAGATTCGATCCCGTGAGCCACAACTTGCCAGTCGAGTGCCACAACGACCTTGCCAGTCTCTTAAATATGTGCACGGGATAGGGTTTGATAGTAAATTTATTTCTCGCTCAGAAGCGAATTGCTCAATAGAACAACAAATCTTTTATCTTGTTATTTTTGTCTCTAGCTTTTGACAGGTCCATTTCAAGTTATTCCTCCCAAAAAGTGCGTATTACGTTAAAACATTCTTCCTGATGTAAAAACAACAACAACAAAAAAAACGGTTTTCTCTCGCGGGTTATGACTGAAATCTAGAAACAAGATCACAACTACTTTACAAATGCAAGTGTTTAAATGATTCAGTATATATTTAAACAGCTATGATCAATTAACGTTGTATTAACTTTAAAACACGACGGATATAGGCCCAAATTTTCGTCCATTTGTGGTAAGATTATTTCAGTGTACTTCAATCAATAAGTTCACTTCAACTAACTTTATACTAACATCGTATCGAAGAATGTCACATCTTCGAGTATACAACTTATTGGTATTGGAGATTAGCTGTTTTCTAAGATTTCATCACTCGAGGACAGTACTTAGAAACATTAATTTAAAGAAAATTTATGTTATTAAAACCTATTTGACCTACAAGATCTGTTATCATTTCTTCACTGAAAAGGAGAGTTTCGGAGAAACACGTGAAACATGTAGGAACAGCACTTGTGAAAATGTCAACCTATATATAATTTATCACTAATCTTCTAATGTGTACTCCAAGTATTCTCTTTAGCAAATTCGCCTTGTGCTGTCGAAATCTCCACCAGTAAAAGAACACGAAGTGTATAGATATGCTTTTATAAGTCGGCAGACTTCTTGTCATTTATAAACAGCCGCGAGTACTTTTTCAAAAGTATCTAATACATTAATCAGAAACGACCTAAATTTACCCTCATCCATTAATATATGTTTAGGAATGAAAAATATAATAAAAATTATGAACGAGGAGTTTACAGTTAGTAAGGACGTATAAGTTAAAAGTAACATGTACATGTATATAGCAATGCCTTACTTATGTGACAATATTGTTGCATGTAGTTCTATTAAGGATAAACCTTTGTTGGATCATATAATTTTTCACAATTTTTTACTGAGAAATAACGTTACTCTTCGGTATACTTTGTAAAGCTATAGATTTTAAAGTTTTGTGAAAAACATGAAAATGTTACTTCAAGGTGAATATTTAAGAAAACAGGATGGGAAAAAATATTCTTGCTCTGATGATATTAAGCATTGCAAGGCATATACATTCCATGTATGAAATGACATTGATATTCCACTCATGGACCACGGACTCGAATTTTTACGCTTTATATGTGATCCTTTGTGCTAACTCTTTTATCAAAATATGTATAAAATTGAGCATTCAGAGACGTAGAGATACATATAGGAAATGAAACACTGAAAGGCATATACATACATGTATGTGTTCAAGCATTCTAAGATATAAACACACATGTATGGAATTAAGCATTGAAAGACATATACAATTACGTAAGAAATCAAGTATTGAATTGAGACGGATATTCATGGACGTCTGAAATCAAGCATTTCAATACATACATACAGGTATGAAATTAATCGTTCATAAAAATATGTACTGTAAAATATATCGTTCATAAAAACACGACCTATGGAATCTATCGTACAAGTATTTAATAACGATAGATTCCACACTACAAGTACTTATGAACGATAGATTCCACACTACAAGTACTTATGAACGATAGATTCCACACTACAAGTACTTATGAATGATAGATTCCACAGTACAAGTATTTAATAACGATAGATTCCACACTACAAGTACTTATGAACGATAGATTCCACACTACAAGTATTTATAAACGATAGATTCCACAGTACAAGTATTTATGAACGATAGAATTTACAATACATATTTTTATTAACGATAGATTCGACAGTACAACTATTTAAGAACGATAGATTTCACACTACAAGTACTTATGAACGATAGATTCCACACTACAAGTACTTATGAACGATAGATTCCACACTACAAGTACTTATGAATGATAGATTCCACAGTACAAGTATTTAATAACGATAGATTCCACACTACAAGTACTTATGAACGATAGATTCCACACTACAAGTATTTATAAACGATAGATTCCACAGTACAAGTATTTATGAACGATAGATTCCACACTACAAGTATTTATAAACGATAGATTCCACAGTACAAGTATTTATGAACGATAGAATTTACAATACATATTTTTATTAACGATAGATTCGACAGTACAACTATTTAAGAACGATAGATTTCATACTACAAGTACTTATGAACGATAGATTCCACACTACAAGTATTTATGAACGATAGATTCGACAGTACAAGTACTTATGAACGATAGATTCCACACTACAAGTACTTATGAACGATAGATTCCAAAGTACAAGTATTTATGAACGATAGATTCGACAGTACAAGTATTTATGAACGATAGATTCTACAGTACAGCTATTTAAGGATGATAAATTCTACACTACAAGTATTTATGAACGATAGATTCCACAGTACAAGTATTTATGAACGATAGATTCGACAGTACAAGTACTTATGAACGATAGATTCCACACTACAAGTACTTATGAACGATAGATTCCACAGTACAAGTATTTATGAACGATAGATTCCACAGTACAGCTATTTAAGGATAATAAATTCCACAGTACAAGTATTTATGAATGATAGATTCTACAGTACAGCTATATAAGGATGATAAATTCTACGGTACAAGTAGTTATGAATGATAGATTCCACACTACAAGTACTTATGAATGATAGATTCCACAGTACAAGTACTTATGAATGATAGATTCGACAGTACAAGTACTTATGAACGATAGATTCCACACTACAAGTACTTATGAACGATAGATTCCACAGTACAAGTATTTATGAACGATAGATTCTACAGTACAGCTATTTAAGGATGATAAATTCTACACTACAAGTACTTATGAACGATAGATTCGACAGTACAAGTACTTATGAACGATAAATTCCACAGTACAAGTATTTATGAACGATAGATTCTACAGTACAGCTATTTAAGGATGATAAATTCTACGGTACAAGTAGTTATGAACGATAGATTCCACAGTACAAGTACTTATGAATGATAGATTCGACAGTACAAGTACTTATGAACGATAGATTCTACACTACAAGTATTATGAACGATAGATTCCACAGTACAAGTATTTATGAACGATAGATTCTACAGTACAGCTATTTAAGGATGATAAATTCCACAGTACAAGTATTTATGAACGATATATTCTACAGTACAGCTATTTAAGGATGATAAATTCTACGGTACAAGTAGTTATGAACGATAGATTCCACAGTACAGCTATTTAAGGATGATAAATTCCACAGTACAAGTATTTATGAATGATAGATTC